CACACACACACACACACACACACACACACACACACACACACACACACACACACGCACGTTGGTTTTGTTGGTTATACATGGCCTAATTCCTTGCCCTGCTTTAGAGCATGGGCTGTCTGGATGTTTACGGGTGGCCACAAGTTCTCTTTGGGGGGATTGTATGTTTTGTGGGCCGGCGTGGAAGGCTTTCCCAGTTTTCGGGAATGCCAATGCTGTTATATTTGATTGTTTTTGGTAAATGAGTTCTTGGTTTTGTGGGCCGATGCGGAAGGCTCTCCAAGATTTTTGGGACCTTTGAGGGGGTCGGGTCGGTGCCTTCTTGCTGGAGCAGTCTTCTGTCTTAGGTAAGTTGCCTTCTGCCCTCCATTCCCTTATGGTTTGAAATATATATGTATTATGTATACATGTGTATACATGCAAGTGTGCTGCTTTGGCGGCAGACGGGTGTGTGGGCACTTGGCGCTGAAACACACAAACCTGGCCAACCTTGCATTTTCTATTATATTGCCTATCTATACTTTTTCGTTATGGTGTGATGATTTGTGAAGGGAATGAGAGATAGAATCTGGGGTCTTTTAAAACAACACACACACACACACACACACACACACACACACACACACACACACAAAATATATATATATGTATGCACATCTGTGGGTGGGATTCGCATGGGCTGCTGTTTCCAAGCACATGAAAAGAGGTGGTCTGTGGGTTCTCTTCTCTAACTCCTGGTGTTGCTGGAGGTTGTCGTGGTATCAGGCCTGATTTCTGGAGTGTTTGTGGGCGGGCTGAGACTGCTGCGATTGGGGGTGAGATTACTGTGGGCCGTGTGTTCTTTTGGCCCTCCTGGGGGAATCAGAGTGCTATAGCTGGTGGAGCTCCTGGTGCTGTGGGAACCTTCCATCCATGCATGCTGTCTTTTTTGCTGCCACTGGAAGTGGCGGTGCTTGCGTAGTAGGATGGTAGGACAGGCAGGCCTTTGCTTTGGGATGCTTTTTGTGACTTTTGGTTGTTGGGTGCATGCTGGTTCTTTCCTGCACCCACCCCTATTTTTAACGGTATGCAGGTGTACCTTTCAGGCAGATAGATATGTGGGCACCTGAATCTGAACCAAACAAGCATGGCCAGCGTTGCACTCTTGGTACTGTGTAGATTTTGCGTGGATCAGGTGTTGATATCGGGTGGATGTACAAGACACACACTCATGCATGGACAATAGTCCGGGGAAATGCTATGGCACAGCCATGCTTTTTCTGTGAGTTTAGTGAACATGACAACACACATGCATAACACATGTATACCCACATATTTATAACTCACATCTAACCATGATACCACATCTGGTTGGCCGTTTGCACCTTGCTGTGCGCTGAGGTTGTTGTCTGCCATTCGTTTGTGGGCGTTGGATCATCATCTGGGCGGTCAGTTTTGCGAGTTGGGTGATCTTTGCTGTGAATTGTTTGTCCGCCACACGTATGTCTGACCCTTGAATCGTGTGAGCTATAGAGTAGGAGTCGTCCAATCCATTTACACCTGACCATTCTGTTTGCATTTTGGCATAATTTGCTCGGGTTGGTGGTTGGAATGGTGGAGATGCTATAAGCATGTTTCTTTTTCAGCATTTTCTTTGTCCTTGAATTTACTGCCGTTTCTGGCGCTGCTGGCTGTGGGCAGGAAAGGAACGCCCGTTAAATCAGGGGGGGAAAAGACGAAGCCCAGCCGATGTCCTGAATGGTGCATCCATGTAACTGTTCGATGATTATAGGCAGACCTGAGTTTGAATCCTGATCGAATGAAATGAATGAAATCAGTGTGAAATTAGTGTGAATTACCTGGGGCCCGTCAGTTCGATGATTATATGATGATGCCCGAAGGTCTTCACCTTTTTAAAAAGAGCAAACAATCATTTAATAATGACAAAAGCCCCTCCTCCGTGCATGGGCTCGAAGCGCTCGTCAGAGCTGGGGGAAGTCTGTGTCGAGTTGCTTTTCATTTTGGGCGATGAGCAATTGGGTCCACCTCAGTGTTGCATAACCCGACGGGCGGCGGCCCTTGACTGGTCGGCCGGCACCTAGCAGTCGGTGGTTGTCGGCAGCCCGCAAAAAAAAAAAAAAAAAAAAAGAAAATGTTTTTTTTTGGGTCCAGAACCTCTAATAACCCCACCAACACCCCCATGCCTCCAATATCCCCATACACCTCCCCAACACCCCCAAACC